TATTCAATAAAATTTTTAGGTTACTTTGAATTTTCGATTTCCTAGAAATGTACTTTTAAATCGTCACTTTTTTGTTCAGTACTTGTACTTTTACTTGTACTTTTTACTCGTTACTTTTTAAAATAAGAACTTTTTACTCGTTACTTTTTTTAAAAATACTTGTACTTTTACTCGTTACTTTTTAAAAGTAACGTTGCCATATATGGTTATGTGTCACATGTTGCCTCTAAATTTTCGACGCATGCAATTCTCTTTTACATTATACTTTCGCATAATATCATCTACCTCTCACCCCCTTCGTCGGGAAATCATTTTATTAAGCTTAAAGTGCGCATATGATTCACGAACATCATATATACAACCTTTCAATGCTCGTATGCTCCTATTGATGCAGACATTTGACTTTTGTAATTTACAATCACAATCTGTAAATCATTTTCTCATCCAACCCTGGACCATTTCATCATATCATTTTAAATCTCCATTTTTGTCATACGCAAAATCTAATGCCACACCTAGTGTTTTTCATCAGATATTCACCTCACATCGTCACAGATATTCACAATATGTAGGAATCTTTGTAGATAGTTCTGAATCTCCTGGGCATGTTGAGTGTGGGATCATAATAGCTGATCGAACCTATAATTATACCATTCCTACCAATTGTTCTGTTTTCACTGCGGAAACAGTTGCCATTCTTCTTGCTTTAAGACTTATTAGCTCATATTCGGAGAGGAAAATTTTCATTTATTCAGACATTTTAAGCTTTCTGAGACAACTTCAAAACGTGGGTAGATATATATATATATATATATAGCTACATTTCTAAAACTAAACACTGAATAAAAAACAGTTTCTATGGGTTTAGTGGCTCAAGAGCTTCTATAAGCTGAAAGTAAAAATCTTTCAATATTACTCACTATAGATAACAAAATTCAATGATGCTATATACTAGGCTATATACTATATACTCTAAATCAAAAAGAACTGAAGGATCAATAATTTATCACTAAAGTTTACTTATCACGGAACTTATTCATCTAACTTGTCAAGGAAACTAATATAACTAAGCTTCTAAACTAAACTAAAACTGAAAATAAACTAAAACTACTTAAGCTTATCTTTAAATATGTTCCCTAATAATGTGCACTTTTTAATTAATAACGAAAACTGTCATAATTTTCGAAATTTTTTTAAAAGCTTTAGATTACTGAAAATGTAATAAATGAATGATGTTAATAATCATAAGCATTTTAAAACTACTCTAAGAAAAAAAGTATGGAAAAATTACAAGAGCATGATACAATTTATCGTGTTTCTTTCTTTATGAGAACATCAAAAGGCACAGTGATTTTTTACGAGACCATTTGGTAATAATTTTGATAAAATTAACAATAAAATAATGTTTTATAATCTTTGTCAAAACTTCGTAAATAAGGAAAAATTTGGTAATTTATTATGATACTTAGAGCATGGTCATAGAAAACATTAATTCGGTTAAATTTACTTTTCAGTTTTGTATTTTTACTAAATGTTTCGTAGGGACTATAATTTTAAAAGCAATAATTTACGGTAAACTGTTACCATATGCATGGTTTTAACACCATATAGTTTTATTACCAGAATTCGTTTTCCCCCCACCCAAAATGCCTTTATTATACAGTACGTCAATTTTGCCATACTTTTTTGTCTGTGTAAAAGAATAATTAAATAAAACTGTTAATTAAAATAAAACAAACCCTGAGGCTTATTTGCCGAAATATTTCGAATGTTGAGTGAAACGGGCGATGTTATATCATTAGTTTTTAATTATGGCTAATACTTTGAAAGATATGTTTTGTGGTAAATAAAAAAAAATTTATATTTTTGAGAACAATATTTTAAAGAAGTACTCTCTTGATATATTATGAAGACCATATCCTAAAATAAATATCAAATATTGATAATTATCGACACGACACTAATAACACCACGATTATTTAAAAAAAAAAACAATCCTGAAAAAGATTCAATATGAAATTATCGTGATCATTATCAATAATGATTAAAATAGAAAATGATAATATCGTGAATTCTGTTGATAAGAAATAGGATTGTTAATGTGTTGATAAATTTCGTTTGACAATGAAAATATTGATAGTTTTAAAAAATAATTTAAAAATTGACAATATTCGCATTTCCTGACTATGTATCGTATTTTTACAATTCTGATATCACCCAGCTGCAGTGTTTATACGCACAGTGTTTTTAATTATGCATTAAAATCTCGATATCGCGAGGTTAGTCAAGAAACTGTTATATAATTATTTACAATTGTTAATCAAAAAATTTTTAAGAAATTTATAAAGGGAACTGTTGATTAACTTAAAGCAGAGAAAAAAAGTAACGTTGCGATAAAGCTCCGAATGATTTGAAATTTCTCTATCTTAATTCAAAAGAATTGGGTACATGCAGCTAATCACATGATCGTGTCTAATCACGTGGTTGGACATGGCATAAGGTTACAACTTTAAGACTTGAGTTCAATATCACGCTGTCAGTTTTAAGTCTAAATATTTTGTTGTAAGTCTTAATTTTTTTCAGGTCTTAATATTAAGTCTTGCTCAAACCCCCCTTTGTATGGAGAAATAAGCAAATCACAAAAACTCTTCCAAGTTGGGTGCTTAAGTAATATTTGATATGAATATTTTTTTCATAAAATTAAAACATGAATCAAAAACATAATGAAAGAAACATTTTTCTTTTATTTACGTTTATTAAACTTATATTTGATTTATGTAAAAAATTTAAAAAAAATGTGTTTCGAAAATTAGTCGAATCGAATTGAGTAAGTTTCGAAAATTAGTATGCCTTGTTTTTATTCATTTAATATTTATTATTAATGCAAGAAAAAACTCTGAATAATTGATTCCGAGACCAAATTATTCTATATCTGCTATTGCTTTCCGTTTCTTAAAATTATAATTATTTTTACAATATCTTTAATTGTATCACAGCTTAATTTATAATTCAGTTCAGTTTATTTAATCTAATATTTATTTTAATTCCATTATTTGTTTACTTGCCTTTTTCTTATACTTAAAATAGAGATTAAATGTATTTCCGGAACTACCTTATTTTTGGAACTTTTGTTTGGGAGGACGATATTCATATTTCCGGTCAGTCCCAATAAAGGGGTTAACCCTAAGGGATTAGTCCCAATAAAGGGGTTAATCTTTGACCTACGGAATATAAAGTAGGTGGATCATTCAATTCCTTTTAAATTGTACAATTGTGTAATGAGATGAATCGGGTTCGAATCCCAGCGATGGCTGGTCAATACGTAAGAGTGCTTTAATACTTTCACTTTTATATTGATTGTTTTAAAATTTAAATTAAAGGGTATTATTAAAGGGTAGTTTATGAATTTGTGAAATTAAATCTTGAGAAAAGTCTTATAAGTTAACTTCTATTTACCTCGGCTACGTAGCAATATTCACGTGTGCAGTCGTTAATGTGTAGAGTTTTTTACTTAATTTTTGACAAAAACTTTAAGGATATCTTGTGGTGTTTCTATTTTATCTATAAGACTTCGGCTTCGATTTCAAAAGTTCAGTTAAAACTGTAAATAATAACAGATAAAGTTTACACATACGTTATTAATTACAGTTTTAATGGCTTCAACTACATTTATTATAAGTTTTCTTATAATCATATGATTGTTTATAATCAATGAGATTGCCCCTATAATCATTGCATTTATAATCATGATCGTTGAATAAGACCTGTGAGATAAGGAATTGTAGTAACATGTGATTACAAGATAGCAAAAAGCTAAAATTATAATAACGTAACAATAACGCATAAAATAGTGTGAATTCATTATTTAAATCTCATTATTTATTGTGAAAACATTTATTTTGAAGGAAAATTCTTTTCGGTGCTATGAGTAAAAAAAAAATCATTAAATATATCGATTAGATGCCTATATGACAAAGTAGAAACTGCAACTATAATCGGGCCTTATGATTACTAGTAATCAAATTTACATGCATTATACATTTAATTATTGATAAATATCATAAATATACATCATAAATATACATCATAAATATACATCATAAATATATATCATAGATATTTACCTTAGTCGTATATTGTAATCCCACGATAATACGATTTCAAGAATATGATATGATAAGATTATATGACTACATATAATGTGACTTCAAATATATGATTCATTATAATAATTTATCATTATAAAAATGATCATGGTTTTTTGTAATTGAAATTATATTTAATCATGATTATGCTTGTAATAGTAGACCACATAATTACTTATATTTACTATTCCTCGTAATCGTTAATTATGATCACAAGTAATAGAGATTATATGGAATCATGATTTATGGTTGTAATCGCGGATTATATGATAACTTGCAATCGTGCATTCCTTTGATCTTTGATGATTATGATTACTTATAAGCATGATTTATTCATTCGATCATAGATCATATGATTATCTATAAACCCAAATTTTGATTCTTTGTGACACTGGTAAGGTTTTTTTTGTAATCATTGATTATGATTTTTCGTAAACATTGATTATGATTATTTGTAATCATTGATTATATTTATATTTCTGAAAAACTACATTGATTCCCAAATCACTATTTTCTTCCATGCTATTTATTCAATAAATATTCAAAATATTATGTTTATTAAAAGTTATTTTATAATAGTAACAAATACACTATCCGGCCAAAAGTATCCGGACAGCCAGTGGTATGGACTTAGAGCGTTCTGAGGCACATATATCTCTCATTTGGTGAAACAATGACGTAACAGCAAAATCAACCTAAATAGAGTAATTATCAGTTACGTCATTGTTTTACACCAAATGAGCAGTATATACTTACATTGTAACCTATAGGACCACATTGTTTACCCCATAATAAGCCTATAATTATTTCTTCTATTGGGGACAATGACGTAACTGCAAAATCAACTTAAATAGAGTAATTATCAGTTACGTCACTGCTTCACTAAATGAGGGGTATGATGTTGGCCCTTCTTTTGCATCAATGACAACCTGTACATGTCAGGGAAGATTTTCCACAGTTTCTGATAGGTGGTCACAGGAATTGACATCCAGGCTTCCACCACAGTGCTTGCAGTGAGGAGGGTCGATTTGGCTGGCTACGTAATCTGCTCTCTAATTCGTCCCAAAGGTATTCTATGGGCTTTAGATCGGGGCTCTGAGAAGGCCAGTCCAGTTTTCGTCAAACCACACGTGTGAGCAGCGATGAGGGTATAGAGCGTTCGCCTTCCAATGAAGCGAACCGAGTTCGAATCCCAGTCGATACGAATTCCGCATCCGGCTTGCACCGACCACAGTGCTGACGTGAAATATCTTCAATGGTAGACGGATCATGGGTTAGAGTCCCCTTGGCGTCAGGATAACTGTTGGAGGTTCTCGTGGTCTTCCTCTCCCTGTAACGCAAATTCGGGTTAACTCCATCAAAAAGTCCTCCACGAAGGCAAAACTTCTCCCAATACTCGATCCAGGAGTTCCCTTGTCTTCTGGATTGGATTCAAAGTGACAAGGCCACGGAGTTGAACATGAGTTGTCGTAAAGCTATAAAATTGGATCGGCTGTTCAACGATGGTTATAAAATATAAAATAAAATAAAACCACTTGTGTGCAAGCCTTGATGTGTGAATGGAGCAGTTATCTTGCTGGGCCTTCCCCGAAATATTGCCATAGAGTTGGGAGTGCAGCATTGTCCAGAATGTGCACATACACATCTCATAGTTTTATGTTTTCAACCACAGGAAGTAACAGACCCAGGCCAAACCACGAGAAACACTCCCACACCATTATGGTTCCACCACCATAACAATCGGGTGTCCGGATGACCAGATAGTGTATTAAATGGATGATAGGAATAATCTTTGAAAATGAATGAGTTACCTGACGATATGTGTCTTCAATAGTTGGTATATAGGATTCTCTGAAGGTCCCTTTCACAAACCTTAGAACAAGTGAGCTTTTTCCAACTCCTCCAGCACCAAAAACTACCACCCTGTAGTCGTTGCTTTGTTCAGGCATAGCGACTCTTCCTGGAGTGAAAACATATATTATGCACAATTTTGTCTGCTTTGACAGAAGACAAAATGCACTATCAATTTGAGTACGATTCATTTGCATGATCTCTATAAAAAATGAAGTGAAGAATGTATTTAAAGTATGATTAAGTTGTAAAGAGAAATGTGAATATCATTACATGATGGAAAGAGTTATTTTTAGTGTGATTTATGATTAAGTTAAATAGCTTGATGTTCAAACAAATTATGTGAGCTAGAATAAATATGTTAGTCCCTGATTTAACCCAAGGCCTGAGAGGCCCAAACCTAAGGTCTCCTAAGTATTACAAATATTTTTTTTTTGTATTTTTCCTTAAGAATTGTCTATTAGAGTTATAAGTTAACAAATATTGAAATAAATAAAAGCTCAAATTGACTAATACATCGTAATTTACTTGTGTTATAAATAATTTAAAAACATTTCATAATCAAACAACATGTAAATTTAGTTAAAAGTATTGACCACGGGGCCCCCGACAGTTCTGTGCCTAGGGATCCCGCCGTTCTAGATCAAGCCCTGAATTACGCGTTCCATATATAATATAGTTATTTGAAAATTTCATACACTAAAAAAAATGCTTGCTATATTACCTCAATACAGTGACAAACGCTAAGGTAATTTAAACACGCTTATGTATTTAAATTTTAATCTAATGCTTAAAAGAAAATTTAAAATACACTAGAGGAAAGAAGGCAGACAAAATGCTATTTATAATTAATTTCTAAATATTTTTTAATTTAATTAACAAAGATTTTTTCCCTCATATTTAAAAATTGTGTGTAACAGGCCAGCTAATAAATGACATTCATCTATGTCTGTTAACTTATGAAAGTATGGAATACTTTTTAAAAATAGGAGGCGTTGTTTTTTTGATTCTATTGGAGGATCTTTATCGAACATCTTGTAAGAAAAATTATCTAACTTTAAAAAAAAAGTATTACGAAACTCTTCATGGAGTAAAAACATCCAAAAAATGGATATATTTTAAATGTAGTACGTTTTGACTCCCAATTATAATAATTCATAAAGCTCTTGCAAAAATTGTTTTTATTAGAACTATTTCAGAAATATAGGATTTAGCATTATTTAACAAATCAATATGATTTATTAACATAAATTATGAAATTGTTATAGGCGTAGCATAAAAAATGAAACCCAGCACACTTGCATTAATAAAAGGGAAGAACATGTAAAGTGACATGCTTATTGAGTGTTAGAAATCAATATTAGAATGTACAATTCTTGTATCCGTAAATTTGAGTATGTTCAAAATATCACTTAACATGATTGTAAGAGCATATTAAGTAACATTTTCATGGATTTTATAAAATCAGCTTGTGAATATATAAAACAAGTTCCCGGAAAATTGAGTGATTTCAAAATCAATTAACATATTTGTAAGTGCACGTTTGTAAGCGCATGTTAGTAACATTTTCACAAAGTTTAGAAAATCAAATTTAGTATGTATGGAACAGGCCTTTAAATTTGATTACTTTTATAGTATCACTTAATTAGTTCTTCCCTTTAGCTTTAAATTACTTCAATGAAATATATACATCAATACAGGAATTGAAATATACCAGTTACAAGACAATAAAATAATAAAAATTGTATAGCAATTGCAAACATACATTCAGACAATTTTTCTTTGTAGAAGGAAAAAAAGAAAGAAACATTTATATCCATTCATGCAGATAGATTGTTTGGTAAACACAGTTTCGTAAAGCAACAAGATTGTTAACATTCAACATTCAGCAACAGGAGTGTCATTTCGTAAAAGCAACAAGAGTATTTTGCTAAGATGAGGATTGTGCGAGGGTTCAAAGAAAGTTAGCATGCAAAATAAATTTCATAGATACAACACACAAACGTGAGATTTTTTTTTTTCTTTTGAGAGAAAAGGTTTGTCTTAAAATAAGGAATGCAGTGCCCAGAAAGCAGGTTTTAAAAAATAGTTTTACCAATAGTTGTCGCTGCCGTCAGTACACTCATCCTGTATCCTGGATGGAGTAGCTTAGAAAACACATTTATTAAATTTTACAACCTTTGTAGTGCTTACATTACGTGAACTGAAGTGAGGAGATGATTCTTACAGTAATGTAGATGACACCTGAGGAGAAAATATAGAGTTGTATTGCTTTCGTTTTCGTCACCTTGCACATTTTTTTTGCTTCCTATAATAAATGTTCTTTTTAAGCCTCCCATACCCTGTATTGCTGTGTAAGTCCTTTTGTAAGTCCGTGAGAAGTGTTCTTCCCACGAAATTCTATCATTTTTAAATACATATGGGAAGTTTTTTTAAATTTTTTCCATCAAACTATCATTTGTATGGCCACTGTCTATGGATGGGTGGCCTAATGTAAACAATAACCGTTCTTAAACCGGAAGAAATTTAGAAAATTTCTGGTGTATCCCTCCGCTTATGTTGTGACTACGAGGCGATGTGTGAACAAGCCTAATATTCTATGCAGTTTTGTTATTGTAATTTGGGTTCAAATCTAAACATAATTGTACCATTCATAAGAGCTTTCAGAAATGTATTGATTCTCAGAGGACGTAAAGCCAAAAAAAATTTTGGAAAGTTAATATCTCATTGTGAATAATTCTTAAAGTTTGCCATGTTTTGTATTTTATCCCTTATTTGGCTACATTTGAATAAAATGTCGCCAAAAATATCTTTAAAAGTTAGTCTAATTAGAAAATATTCTAATGATTATAATATTAATATGATAATGCAGAAGTTTAAAGGCTGAAAGAAAGAACTCGGTACATGTGAAATACTGCAAAAGATATGATGCAATAATATGATGGCGCGTTTTTTCAATCTGCGGCGTAAAAATATATCGGAAGCAGTAACCCGGAAGTCTTGCGAGAGCAATTTAACCACTAGCGCCATCACCCTTAGCTTTACACGATCACCCATCCATAAGTTCAGAAAATAAAAAAAATACCAATGAAGAAAGCTTTGTTTACATAAATGTGGGTAGCGGTAAAGGTTTGCGTGGGTGCAAAGAAGAAAGGCTATCACCGGGGAGGGGAGAACGTTATGGGTTCGTTTATTTGATTGTTTCGCATCAATGTCATTTGCTTTTATAAACGCGGAAACCATAAATTTGGTTATTTATAAGTACAGAATTTCAAGTTCATGGCCAATTCTTCACAATGGGAAAAAGTTTTAAGACTTCCCCACCCCTTTCTCGCCTAAAAATGGTCTTAAAAATCATATAAATTTTAAGTAAAAAGCTAAATGAATATCTTTTTATAAATCAATCTAAAAATACTTACAAATCGATAGGCATAAATAGTTTTATTTAAATTCTTCATCAAGTCCAATCGTAATATATTCGAAAAATATTACAAAAAAAGCTATTTGTGTCTTAAGGAAGAATAAAACGCAATTAATTCCTGAGCTATTGTGTGAGACTATTTTATGTTGAATTTTTTATTATGTTGTATTTATGTATTTTATATCATGATGATTCATTTAATTCTTGTTAACATACGCAAGACATGAAAAATAAAAAGGAAAATATGCTATTAAAATTTGAATAGCACCTTTAAACACTTAATTACAGTTGTTTTCTTGTGTGTTCTGAGGAAAAGAAAACATACATATGAAACATTCTTAAGGTGTATTTCTATCAACATAGACTTATTTTTGATTTTCTGTCAAATTCTATAACATGTGACCAACAGTTGATTTTGAAATTTTAAACTTGGTTGCAGAATATAAAACATTTTTCTCAGCTTCTTTAACTATCAAAAGACAACAGGTATGTTTTTCCCTTTCTTCATACCATAAAGCTGATAAAACCTTACCTTAAGATAATGAATGTCAATAAAAGTTTAGAAAACTTAAAACTTTTGGTTACTTTTTTTTAAATTCGTGGTTTGGTGTTTGTTAAATTAAGAATTTTCAAGTCTGTTATTAGTTGTTCCCCATGTAAGATTAATAAAGTTACAAATTACTAATTTACATCATTAAGAAATTTCGCCTACAGAAGAAAGTTAGAACAGTAAAACATATCATCTCAAAGCTTTTGCTCCTTATTATAGGCATTTCTGCAAAATATTTCATATTCTTTGTTACAGTATTGATTATTACATTTGAATGAAAGTGAACCACTATGTAGTTTTGACAGTGCAGTCTTTCGCATTTTTACAAAATAGCATCTCTGTACGTTTAATATGTATAGAAATTCTTTATTCACCCCAGGGTTGTTATATAAATGTAAAGAAGCATATTCTTTAGAAAAATCGTACAATGGTTATTTTTTTTTCATTTTTCCTTGAATTCCTTTAATAGATATTGTGACCAGCTGTCAGTATATATATATATATATATATATATACTCATATATCATATAATGAGTATGTGTGTGA